ATCTGACTGCAAGCTCTACAAGAGCAAGAAGACCTATGAGAACTGTTGTCTATGAAACCATGGGCAGGCATTTATTTATAATATTAGCAAAATTGTTCTCATTCATTAAATAGGATGAGTAAGTAAGGTAAAAAAAAAAAAGAATTGTGTGTTCCAAATTGTAGTGTAAGACTAATGCTCAAGGTATATGTAAACCTAACAATTAAAATTATCGTATATGATCCCTTTTTGGTATGTTAAATAAAGTAGTGAATGTGTTTTGTAATATCTCTTTAATAACTGCAAAAATATCTGTTGATCTTGTCAGAATTTCAGAGCTCTCCTGTGTCCCATGCCCTTCCTGTATTATTTAAAGAAGTCTAATTAGCCCTTCTAGTTCTTTTATTGGACTAGGAAACAATTAGACCCTTTACTGTGGAGATGAGAAGTGGAAGGGACTCACAAGTTTAGTTAAATACAACAGATCAGGGCTGATGGCATTCAGTCCACAAAATTGCTGTGTGTTGTAAGCCCACAGCAAGAAATTAAGAACTGAGGCAGATCAACAGGCATTTTTCTGCACTTGTATGGCCTTTAAATGCATACAATATGTGCATATATTGCAGAGATGTATTCATATTAAAACATTTTTTCCTTGACATAGACCATGGGTGCTCAACTTGTGGCCCTCCATCTGTTACAGAACTACAAGTCTCATCATGCCTCTGCCTTTGAGAGTCATGCTTGTAACTGTCAGTCTTGCAATGCCTCATGAGACTAGTAATCCCTTAATACCTGGAGGGCCACAGGTTGAGCACCCATGACATAGAGGTTAAAGTGATACTAAAGGCTTCGATTTTTTTCTTTTCAAAATAACAAACATGTCATACTTACGTTCTCTGTGCAATAGTTTTGCACAGTGCAGCCCCGATCCTCCTCTTCTCAGGTCCCCAATCGGTGCTTCCGCCCACCCCTGCTCAGTGCCCCCATAGCCGCTTGTTATGGGGGCACTGGTATGTCCTTGCTCCCAAGCTGCTGCTCTGTATGTCTATTCACACACAAATAACGACTCAGCTCTCCCCCCCACTTTCTCCTCATTGGTTTGATCGCTGTGATTGACAGCAGCACTGCTGTCTCAGCCAATGAGCAGGGAAAGACCCAGCAGAGCCGCTGCTCTTGTGCACATTGCTGGATCGAGAGGGGGCTCAGGTAAGTATTAGGGGGGGGCTGCTGCACACAGGAGATTTTTTTACCTTAATACATAGTGTGTGAAGGTAAAAAACCTTGAGCCTTTACAACCACTTGCATTTTTTCTTTGCAGCAGTTACAGCAGACAATACTGAGAGTATTTATTTATCCGTAGTACTAAGTGAGTTTTGTCTGAGTAGTTGTAGCAGAAAAGAAGCTATATGTTCCTCTCTTAAGAGTGTGGCCAGGTGGCTCATTTATTTACTGGACATTCCAGTCTTGTCTCACATTTATGCACCATTAAAACATCAAAACAGTACATAGATGCCCCCAGGAGATTTGTTAAACCATTCTTTACATTGTATAACAATCTGGTTGCATATTTTCCACTAGGACAAGCATTATATTTATTTGTCATCACTTTGATATTGGCATGTAGGTATGGAATATTTATGGATTTTTTTTTTAAATTCCCTAGCTGAAGACATAGGATATGCTATAAGGGCAAAGAGAAAGGAAGACTCCATTCTGGAGATTATAAGAAACAGATCCCTGGGCCTGATAGTGTTGTTTAAGTTTTCCCATATGAGCTGTCTTAGACAAGAGTCTGGAGGTGCACACTGGGCTAATATTTTATTCTACTGTTTAGTTCTTTCTAGCCATCTCACTAACAGAACAAAAATTCCTTTTATTAGTGCACCGTCCAACAATTCCTTAGGGCTGCGTTTGATTTAGCAGGCAGCAGGGATACTGTGTATATAAAGATAATTTCTTGCCTGTTCAAATGACATCTTCTTTCTTTAAGTACAATTTTTATCTGGGATATATGTGGAATGTAATTTCAAACTATTAAAACGAATCTTTCCCTGTCTCTCTTTTACTGATTCTTTCTTCCTCTGCCTCTTTTTTACTTGTAGTGATGATGGTAGAGGATACAAGAGTAGAAAAATGCTCAGGGCATGACACAGACATAGTTGAAATTAAACATATATAGGCATCTGGAGAGATATTTCTGCTTTAAAAATCAGCAACCTGGCATTAAATTGAGAGCCATCTGCTAATCCTAACTGCAGAATAAATACATTACCTTTTATAGTATTGCTTCAGTCTTTCAAATCCATTGGCAAACATCAGATCTGCAAACTAGAACAAAGACTCACAACTACCGTTAGTTTATAACGAAACTTCTTACCAAAGAGGGAATAAGGATCAAAGCCTCCTTTTTTTTTTCTATTTTGTTAAAGCAAATTATCCTCACATCACAGATTTTGGCAGGTTTTTGTTCCATTCAAGTTCAGCTTTCATTGGAGTTGGTTTCTTGGTGTAGAACACATGGATGTAATAGTCCAGTGAGAACATTGGTTAACTCCTTCAGTACCACCACAGATTTGTCTGGCTTGTTAGAAGAAAAACTTGGCAGTAGAAAATGAAGATAAAAAAAAGATAAAACCTGACTGGTAATCATGTGACTATAGCAGATCTTCATTTTGCCCCTGAACCCCCAAATCCCCCCCACCCCCCTTCCCCCAGTTTTTTTTCAACACTGCCCCCCCCCGCTTACCTTGTTGGCAGTCCTGCACAACTAAGGTACTCGCCTGCCCAGCAGTTCTAGTATTGGTCCTGCGAGATCAGCTTCTCTTTTGCACCTGCTCAGTCCCCTGACACCATCTTCTTCGATAACATCATCAGGAAGCTGCCAGATCTTCCTGTTCCAGCCAGCTGCTTTCCGATCACATGCTACTAGGCCCCCCCTCCTCCTTTCTCAATGATAGACTAAGTATCCCGGGATATGTGGCAGAGAAAGTATCCCATTAGCTGCACATCGCTGAAAATCCACTATGAAAGAGTATGGGGCAGTCTATGCCTGGTCTCCAGCCAAGCCATGACCCCCCCCCCCCCCCACGTGTTTCGCTAATCACCCCCCTCCTCTGGAGCTTACTCATGGAGATGGGGATTTCAAGTAAAGGGGACAGAAGAGAAGTGGATCTCGCAGGATCAACACTGGATCTGCTTGGCAGGCGAGTACCTTAGCTGTGCAGGACTGCCAACAAGGTTTATTGCATCATCGGCTGCCAACATAATTAGAAAAAAATAAGTGTCAGGTGATGTACATATCCCAGGAGGCAAAGTGGGGAGGGGTTTGCAGGCCAGAGCTTTAATGGAAAAAAAAAATATAACCAAAGAAAAAAAAAAATATCTGTTATCCCAGGTTTTACCCCTCTATCTAGAATCTAACTTTAACAGCTTGCCATTCGTGATATAGCAGAAGTACTGCTACAGGGCAGCACGGCTGTGCAAAATCATGTATAAATACATACAAACAGTGATAATGAGCCACATAAATATTAATAATAATGAAAAAAATAAAATAAATTTGATAAATGTGATCTGAAAATGAATCGTCTGCATAAATCCAAAAAGTCTCTAAAAATCATCCAGTGTCCAAAAATTATTTTTCTTATGTAGTGAACTGTCCAAAGATATGTGTAGGCATACACAGTTCTTACTTGTTCCCATATTACCTCAAAATAAAGAAATAAAAATGTATATATATGTGATTTGCTGTTGGTGGCTAGGGATGTCAATCACTGGGTCCTGATCAGCCATTCCCAGCCGGGACTCAATGATTGTTGGCAAAGCTGACAGGGGAGAGACCTGTGTGCAAACAACACAGGTCTCTCTCCTGTCAGCATAGACATGCTGCTTTGTATCTCTGCACAGTAGAGAGATACAAAGCAACATGTCTCCCAAGTAAAATGGCACACAATGTAAAAAACACACACAGCACACAGTTAACCCTTTGATCACCCCAGATGTTAACCCCTTCCTGCCCAGTGTCATTAGTACAGTATCAGTGCTTTTTATTAGCACTGATCACTGTATTAGTGTCACTGCGATGTCAGTGGCAGTTAGACAGTTCTCATCCAGTGTCAGAATGCCTGTCGCGGTCCTGCATTAAGTCAATGATTGCCGCCATTACTAGTATTAAAAAATAAAAATTCCAGTACATATACCTCCATTTGTAGTTGCTATAACTTTCACGTAAACCAATTAATAATATATAATTATTGGGATTTTTATTTAGCAAAGACATGTAGCAGAATAAATTTTGGCCTAAATTTATGAAGAAATTCGATTTTTAAAAAATATTTATAGCAAAAAGTCAAAAATATTTTTGTTGTTTTTCAAAATTGTTGATCTCTTTTTGTTTATATGCAAAAAACAAAACCGCAGAGGTGATCAGATACCACCAAAATAAAATTCTATTTGTGGGAAAAAAATGACATCTCATTTATGTACAGCGTTGCATGACCGCACAATTGTCAGTTAAAGTAACGCAGTGCCATATTGCAAAAAATGGCCTGGTCAGGAAGGAGGGCAAGTGGTTAAAGATGTTTTCTAGGCTATCAAAGAGGGTTTATACTAATGTATAATTATTACTGGTCTTTTTTTTTTGCTGAAAATGACAAACAGTATTTTCATCAAAAAAATTGTGTGAAATCAAGCAGTCATTAGTAACATTAGCAGACTTCAAACTGTGTTATGTAAGGGGTGTAATATACTAGACACTGGCTTCAGTGGGAGGCTTTGATGTCTTTAGTGAAACAAATGGAGAAGTGGGCAAGTATAAGCAGCAGTTGTTGTCATGTAAAAATTTCATAAGCAAGGCTATTTAGGAAAAAAATATTATTTACCATTACTAATGGAGTCCATTTGTTCGAAATGTACCCCTCAGGTTATATCAGGTTTAAGCAAATGAATATTCATTGAATTTGCATTAGTAATATCATTTGTAATTGTTGTCACAACTCATATTTCACTTTTTGTGGCAGAAACCAAACCTATCTCAGAGACTGTGAAGCCTACTATCAAAACAGAGGAAACTACAACAATTGTGGTTCCGGAAGAGGAAAATAGTGAATCTACTGGTACTGAAGGTAACTATGGTTTGTAGAAAGATGATCAATTTTCATTAAACATTAAAAGTTTTATTTGATGCATGTTTAGCTTCATTATATTTATAGTTTATCAAAAGTACTGTAACAGCTTACCGAAACATTGCAGTCTAATTGTACAAATTTATTTAGATTTGCTTCATCCATTATCAATAGATTACAGGGAATGTCAGTGCTCATGATTAGCTATTAAATCCTAGCCACATATCCACTTCTATAGATGTATATAGCTTATATTTTAGCTTTATATTTCATTTGTAGCCGCCCCCCCCCCCCCCCCCCCCCTCCAAAATGACTGATCATAAATTGGAATGTGATTGAATTGTACAGTCCGAAGACTTATTCTGGATATGAATGAGCAGCAATTTTGCCCTGTGTAACAAATGATAGAGCAGCCTTTCTCAGCAAGGGTTCAGTGGATACTTGGAGGTCCTCCAGAGGTTGCTAGGGGTTCCTGGAGATTCTACACTGACAACAAATGTATGGGTACAAATTTCACTATCTGTGTTCATATCTGGTCACTATTATTATTCATTTCACTTTATGATTGTGGAATAAACCTCATTTTTTTATTCTTTACATTAAAAGTGTCAATAACCTGCTGGTCTTATTAATGCAGCATGGCCTGCAGGTTTTTTAATTTTGGTAGTGGTTCTCTGAGACCTGAAAATTATTTCAATAGTTCCTCTATGGTGAAACGATTGAGAAGGGCTGGTATGGAGAAAAATCTTTTTTTTTTCCGTCCAGCTTTAACCTCCTTAGCGGTATTCCCGAGTGTAGCTCGGGGTAAAATTTCATTACCAAGAGCTGTAACCCCGAGCTACACTCGGGCTTACCCTGCGGCATTGCTCAGGGGGTCCCTGCAGCACTTACCTTGTTCTTCGCTCCCGCGATGTGTCCCCTGTAGCGTCCCCAGCCATCTCCTCCGGCCGATGCCGGCATCCGGCTTCTGTGTTCCGGTCCCTGTGACGTCGGGACGTACGGGCGCCAGAACCGGCGGGAAATTTGAAATTTTTAAAAAATGTCATTTTTGCTGTCATTGCTGTTTCAATGCATTTCACATATATTTTGTCCCTACTGCTTTGTCCTGTGCCCTGCCTGCATTTTGACTGTTCTTTCTGCCTGGAAACTTAGAAAAGTCCATGGCGTCCAAAAAGTGTCCCTTTACGTCAAAAGCGGTTTTAGAACAGCGATAGTAAATCAGAACCACGTGCAGAATTGAGTGATAATGATTTGTGGTGAAATTCGAAAATCAGACACTGAAAATGATTTTGCAACTTTGCTCAGCGATGTGCGAATTTGCCTCTGTATTTCAAATTTCAGTGTTTTTTGGTTTGATTATATTATTGAATCAAATTATTATTATATTATTATTTTTTATGATTTATTAAATTATAATTTATAATTTCGTGTTTCAAGTTTTACCATATCCGGAATGTGTACTAGACTCTTGTTCGTACAGATTTCAGTGAGTTATTCCTAAAAATTACAGCCTACAATAAAAAACTACATATTTCCATGCAAAAAAATGGTACTGCTTTCAGCACAAAAAATCGGAAAGAATCATACCGCCAGGGAGGTTAATAAAGTTTTATGGATAGCTAGCCAGTCTCGGAGCTTTTGCTGTAAATTGCTTCTGCATATAAAGATTGAAAACCTATATGATCGATCGACTCAATTTGTACCAAATACATTGCTTTATTCAAAGACACGATAGCGTGATTTGTAACACAATTGGACATAGAGTATTTGAAGTGGCTAAAGCTGTCTACACAGTATATGGAAAGGGATTGTTATGTGAACCAATTTTGATGTAACAGTGTAACAATTTAAAACATTTTGTTCAGTACTCAAATGTTTCTATTGATTCAGCAGAGACATGTCATTAAGTCCTTTGAAATGGAAAGTACATCCAACATGCACTAAAAGTCTCACCATGTAGCAAGAATAATTTTCCCTCTTTCCTAACCACTTATCCTACATATAAGCACACAATACAATCCTATTATACCTGCTGCCCGCCCTTGGCCCACTGTCTTGTACTGCCCTTTATCCTTGTTGTCTGGTCAACTTTATTATCACACTTACAAGATATTGTATGACTTCATTGCCCCCCAAAGCATGCAGTCTTTTTAGTCTGATTCAGTACATGTATAACGGTCAACTAGAAGAGAGAAGCAAACTAGCACCCTGTCTACTAGCAGATTGATTTTATGTGTATAGAGTACTCATTCAGGTTGCAGTAGCAGGGCAGTAAAGTGGAACATTTTACTATATACAAGAAAGCATTAGTGACAGCCTGCAACTTGATGTGTGGGAGGCTGTGTGCCTTCTATAGCAGCCCTGCTGCTCCATACAATGACCTATACTAGCTATGCTGAAACATGGCCCTGAATACAGTATTTTGTTTCAAGTCTTACTCTAATTCTGTTACATTGATTACTGCCCAATTATCCAAATAGCATTAAGAAATTCCATGTTTGTACAGTATATGCATGAATAAATGAGCAAGTAGCTTTATGAGTAGATATCAGTAATTTCTAAGAAGAAATAGTTTTGAGTTTTGTATGGAAGATTCAGTCTGATTATGTGTGCCCAAGGCTCCCTGTCTTGTTTTGTTGGTGGGATTAGGTGGGTTTCAGTCTCTGAAAACGATTGTCAGATTTAAGACATGTGAGCCAACTAAAAGGATCCCAGAAGGCAGGGATTTCATACTCCACACAGCTTTAGCAATTTAGCAGTGGATAAAAAAAGAAACAAAGTGATATAATAGCATCATTAAAATCTGTCTACTTGTGTTTTCTTACCTTGTAGATTGCCAGGTCCCATCAGGATTTAATTGCAATTTTGACCATTCAGAAGATGTGTGCAGCTGGACACATGATATTGAAGCGGATTTTACATGGTCTTTCCATCCTAATAGTCCATGGATAGGACATTCAAGCTCTATTCCTGGTAAGTACAAAATTCATTATATTGACATGTAACAGGTCATTCTGAGACTGGTAATGATCTAAAATGCATGTGGGCTATTATTCAACTTGCTCTGCAGACACCAAAATCCCAAAACAATGAATACCTCTTTAGCATTTACACTTTTAGCATTTACATTTTGCGCAGTTTGTCACATACTGTGCAAGCTTCCAGAGTACAACAGAAGATTTACGCATGGCATACATGGTGATAATTAGTTTTAAAAATAATAATATTCATTGGTATCCTTTATGGATTTGTCCCAGGGATATACATATCAGAATTAGCCATAAAATGTCTTGATGACGATAGTATAGCAACCAAACTTTTAACTGTTATAAGTAATGTTATCTATATAAGGCAATGCATACTGTTTTTTTCCCACCTGGTACCTACAGAATAAGGGCCATGCACACTGGCTTAAAAAAATATGCCATTGTTATTAGCAGAAATAAGATGCTAATTTTGAGCATTTTTTGTACCAACATTTAGGAGTGTTGAGCAACATTTAGGAGATTTTTTTTATGCTAGAAAACCAAAACAGAAGGGTTTTTTTTTTTTACAGAAAACCAAAACGGAGGGGTTTTTTTCTGCCTCTAAATGCTGAGCTTAAAATAAGCCTCTAAATGACCTAAGGTGCATGGACACATAGGGTAACATTAGTTGCTTCTACAGGCAAAATGCTAAAATCTTCTAGGAGCAGCATTTTTTTAAGCCAGTGTGCATGGACCCTAAACATTACAACAGCAAAACTACAATAATTCTGTTTTATCCACAGGAACATAATACATTTATTTTTTCTTACAGTTTGTATAAAAGATAAGCAGCTTTACTCCGCAAACAGTGCTCACTTAACTTTTGTAACCCACTGCCATCAATCAGAATTCATGCTTTCCAAGTCAGACCAGGACACGATTAATTCTGAATTGTTGCTATAGCCATCAATCAGAATTTATGCTGTTCAAGTCACACCAGAACAAGATGGATTATTTGTTTCTATGACCATCAGTCAGAATTCATGCTGTTCAAATCACACCAGAATTAGATACATTCAGATTTGTTATTATGGGATACTGGGATAAAAAAAAACTATGAGAACTTAAAGTAGAACTATAGGCACAACTATTTTTTTTTATTTTGGATAGAGCAAGGGAGGATTATAAGCCCGGTCAGATTTTTTTTTTTACTATTTTCCATTTGGAGATTTTACTTCACTTCCTGTCTCACAACCAAACCGGAAGTGAGAGGAAATCTCTGCAAGTTAAGGGAATCCCATGTGGACTCCCAGTTCACCAGAACTAATGTCCCCATTGGAAGATTTCCCCTCTATTACTTTTCTGAAAACAACCCAACATTTAGGATTTTCTTTTATTTTCATTTTCAATGATAATGGCAAACAGGACAAATAGAGAGGATGAATCTCTATTACAGGGGCACAGACAGCAAAAAACCTGACAGATATTCTAATCCCTTGCCACTCTATCCAAAACAAAAAAAACAGTATGACCTTTAGTTATACTTTAAAGGGTCTGCAGCAGGGGTGGACTGACCATTTGGAAACTCGGGCAGTGCCCGAGGGCCCGGGGCCAGTAGGGGGCCCCATGAGATGCCCCTGGTACCTTTTTTATAGGCTTTTTTGAGTGTGGGCAAGGACACAGGGGTCCCATGATCCCCTATTGCCTGGGGGCCCCATGAGTTGTCAGTCTGCCCCTGGTCTGCAGTCCAAAAGTGATATTTTATTAAAATATTAATCTGGTGAGTTGGGTCTTAAGTATTGGGATCTCTCTGTGTTTCTTTTGCCGCTGCTTCCACCCACCCTGAGGTGTTCCTTCTTCTCTTGATACATACACCTTATCAGAAAATAAATAAGAGATTCAACAAAGAGAGCAGGATACAATTGGACGGACCTGACAGCTTTATGAATTCAAAGATCTGATCCTAACACCTGAGTCCCTGAAAAGTAGAAGAAACTGTTAGATGGTCTAACTTTCCAGTGTCAACCAATAACTGAATATATCTATTTTGGATGAAAAAAAAAGAACTTCTTCATGTAATTAATATGGATTTCAAGGACAGTAGCAGATCATTACATATTTCTGTTAGATCAAATGTTGTAAGAGAGTTTGCTAATCACATCAGCAGGAAAAGACTTTCCCAATTCCCAGTGGCCTACTAAGTAGTAAAGTAAGAATAAGGACCAGGGGCAGACTGACAACTCATGGGGCCCCTGGGCAATAGGGGATCATGGGGCCCCTGTGTCCTTGCCCAAACTCAAAAAAGCCTATGAAAAAAGGTATCAGGGGCATCTCATGGGGCCCCCTACTGACCCCGAGCCCTCGGGCAGTGCCCGAGTTTCCAAATGGTCAGTCCGCCCCTGATAAGGACATTTCTGGAACATAAATCTTCAGAAACAAGTCAGTAAACAGAGCTCCCTTATCTCTGACAGGTTGCCTTTAAGTGATGTTTTCCACAACATACCAAATAGATCATAGAAGCCTTTAAATGATACAGGAACTAAGAAATACTGGCACTTCAGAAATTAAAAAAAAAATCTCATGTGTTTGAAGGAATATACAGAAAAATACTATTTTATATTCCTAGGCATGTTAGGTGTCTTTTGAAGTATTCTACCAGTGCTAAAGGGGTCAGCAATCCATTTTGGAACAGGCCCCTGTGCAGCGAATAGGTGCTCACAGCAACAGAGAGAACACTTACCAACAGTCTCTATAGAAATCACTGCCTGCCCATCTCCATCAGCCTAATAATGTTTAATTAATATAATGAGCCTTCTGCATGAAGGGAAGAGCCTATTTTTATAACCTATGCAGCATTTTGCTTTTCATTTCCTCTCCCCAGAGATAATATAATTGCCTGTTATTTTGTTAACCTTTTATGTGCCATATGCTATGCAGCTGTTTGACAGAAGAGCCCACAGGTAATCTGAAAGGCTGGTAACTTTTATCTCCATTTGTAATGCTTAAACGCAAACTGTCAGTGTTGCCTTTATTTAAAATATAAGAATATGCCGCAGAAAATTTAGGAAAACTAAAGATATATATATAAATATATAAAATTATGTGTGTCACTTTGTAGGAAGTTATAAAATGTGATATGCCAGAAGGCTCCAGGGTAAATTATATACACATGACATTGCCTGAAGGCAGAACCGCCAGAGTCCAGTGAATACGTTTGTCAACGCCATGGAAATATCAAGTGTTATGCTGTTAGCTGCATAATCTCCTGTGCATAATGCATCTGGAGCTGTTAGATGCCGACACTTATTAAGTCCGACTAATGAAATCATTGCTCCATTGTATATTTTAGGGAATAACATTGCCCTAGCTGTAGAATTTATGGTTCTCTGTGAGAAGCTACCACATGGTTCTGTGCCAAGTCACTTTCCTCTCATGATACAGAATAACTGTAAATAATAAACTATATTTTTCTGTGATTTGACTGGATTTATCATTCTATGCAATGACCAATAGCTTTGCCTCACTTAAAGAGGACCACACAATGTTTTATGTATCTGTGTTTTGTTTGTTAAGTGTAGGCCGCAAAAGTTGTACACATTCATGTGGTTCTGAGTGTCAATGCTGCCAAAAGGGTTAGACATATGTCTAAAAGTTTAGCAACTGGGACTGAAATGTAGTATAGAGTTCATGTGGGCACCATTAAATGAAAGCTGCTGTTTGACCATGCAAGAAAAAGTCATATGTTCATTTAATTCTGCCCCCCCAAGCTGCTTGTATTTACCTTCCCTTTGCTTCACTGCCACTTTGTTCACATGTGGGAGCAATAAGAAGTAGTTCTGTGTGAGTTCCAAATCACAACATTTAGCTTTCACAAGAATGAGGACTCTCTCCTCACCACCATATGACAGTACTTTATGTCTAAGTGGCCTATTGCCAACCACCACTGCTGTCGTGTCAGAGGAACAGGAGTAAGTCACATGCTTCTCCATACCTCAATGTACCAGGTATATAATTTTACTTTCCTGGGTAAAATGGTTGCTTGAGAATTGGGTTTCTCAACCAGGTTTCCTCCAAAGGTTGCTAAGGGTTCCTTGAGCAATGAGCAATTTCTGCTTCTCAGATAAGTTCTCATTGACACCATTGATCTTTTTATCTGTCTATAAGGGGTAATTCTTCCCACTGACCACAAGTGTAAGGAGCATTCTTCTCATCGTGCATCAAACTAATGTATCATGAGTTGTCGATATAGTAATTTTTAGCAGGAGTTCCCTGACACTGGAAAGTTAATTCAAGGGTTCCTCTGTGGTAAAAAGGGTGAGAAAAGCCTCTTGGAAAGGTAAGTATACACACAGCTCTAGGGGGCAGTAATAAAATTGAACAAGGGTGTCAAAGCACAGGTTCAATTTAATATTAATACATTTCTCTAACGTAACAAAATTGCCATTTGTTGGTATGCTGGGAACACAAAAAAGTGCTGTACATTTAGACATAGTTGTAAGTCTTTCAGAGAACACAACTTAATTTTGTAAATTTACTAAAAAATATCTAAAGTCTACACGTGATGAGTAGTTACTTGTAAATCCAAGGCAATGAAAGAGTTATAGCGTTGAAGTCCTCTGGAAAGTTAATTTCTTGTCAGTCTTTGTAGTTTTTTTTTTGTACTCCGCATCCATAACAGTAACATTGAGTGTAAGCTATCCCAGAACAGAAAGCGCTCAGTGTTGTTAACTGCTCACAGAAGCTGCTCTCATGCATCAAAACTGTGCCTGGAAAGAAAGATTTGTCACAGTTCTTGGTAATGCTTTTCATGCTTGGGGACCAAGAATTCCTACAGCGGTCACATCTGACAGTGAAGGACAGAAGGGGTATCTGTATTCTCCTACAACTTGCGCTGACACTGAGAACTTGTGACTCTGGGGTGGATAAGGCATACCTTCTTTTTAGTTCTAGGAAAACTGTTCTGAAGTTCTTAAAAAGCCATAAGTTACAGTTCTGAGCTTGCCACAC